GCAATTTAAAGTTGGGAATTGTGACAAAAATATGAATAACTAGCTACTTCCGCGCGGTTTCACACGCTCTGCTCGGCTCCTTTTGGTCGTAGCGTGATGTTTTATAGCGTATAGCCATCCTCGATAAATGCACTATCCAACACAAAAAGAATTATTCAAATCAGACTTGTAGTTACGTAGATTAGATTAGTTATTCAAACAAACAAACAAACAAACTCTTCCGGTTTATGTAATAGTATATAAGATAATGGTATAAGATATAAGATTTGAATAAAAAAAACCAAAGTAAAATGTTTGACTTTAGCTCCCTTCAACGGTCATAACTCAGTCCAGACTGAGATTTCCATACATGAGCCCTATGGGCTCACTTTCATATATATATATGGGGACAATTTCGTTTGTGATATCATTCCAGACAATATCTTCTATAAATCATCGACTGACGCCAGAAAAAAGAAAGGCACCAAATTTAGTCAATGGCCAAATGAGAACCGATAGCAAACCACGGGCCCCTAGACAGAATTTGCTACAGGCCCCGCGCTGGCTTAATCCGGCACTGATTAAATGCAATCTTTCTTGGAAATAATAGCTTTCATTTTATGATTTCCGAAAACATCATTGAGATTGAAATTAAAGAATGCTTGAGGCAATAGAGATGAAGATTTTAGGAATCAGAACTAAATATTTATATGTCGCAGAATCAACAAAGATGCACAACTATCGAGTATCGTTATTTTAGAACAACGCCATCTGTTATCATTTGTCGGAAACGTCAAGCAGTGTGCTTGGGTGATGGTCGGTACGGGGCGTGGCATGTTGACATTTGACAGGCGTCACTTTTGAGTTGGACACGAGAGTGAGCGGTTGTTCTGCCAGCCCGTACCGTACTTACCGCGTTTACGACGAATCCGATGACGAAGTACCCCCAATTGGTGCATTTTTACGTTTATGAAAACCAGTCAATTATGTCAAATAAACCCAATCACATAAAAGAAAATAGATACATACAAGCTACTAACAAAATCAACCAAACCAGGTGTTTGACCTCAAATACAGGTAAATATAACAAGCAACCAGTTGTTGGCAAACATGTTTTTGAAAACAAAACAATATAATATTCTAAATAACTTGTGGCATTTATTTTTACCTGACCTAAAATTAGCTTTAGTGGAAATAAATGCAGGTATTGGGACTCATAACATAAATAAGTTCTAAGTGTGGGAGAGCCATGCTTCGGCATGAATGGGCCGGCTCGACCGGAGTGATACCACGGCCTCACAGAAGATCGACGTGAAGCAACGTTGTGTTGTGTTTCGTCGTGTGATTCCTCACTTACCGGAGGCCCAAATACACCCCCCCTCCTTTCCCCAATGTCTGAATCCCCAACAATCCAAAATTCCTAATCCCAAAAGGCCGGTAACGCACTTGTAACGCCTCTGGTACTCCAGGTGTCCATGGGCGATGCCAATTGCTTACCATCAGGTGATCCGTCTACTCGTTTACCGGTTTATCCCATAAAAAAATAGTGAAAAATGGGTGTTATATTGTAGTGGCATTAAGAGCCATAATGTAAATGTCGGGGATAAAAAAGCGTGATGTTATGTTAAATGCAGGTCAAAAATATTAAGAAAAAAACAGTGTCTTGAAACCAGTACCAATTACTTTAAACTTTCCTAACAATGTAAGTACACGACTACACATCGAGTTATACAAATCCAGTATATCATGGTCTAGCTCTGATGATCTTACCTTACATTCTACGATCACTTTATACTGGATTTGCATAGCTTGTGCAGCCATGTGCATCTGGACACCATTAGAGTTGTTTAAACAATCTGGGCAGTGGTGAACCACTTTCACTGACTAAATACGTTACGTTAGTTGAAGGTTAATTTAATTAGGCCTGTCACGATAATGTAACGTAAAAGCCTGAAGGTTTAAAACTTGAACCGTTAAGGTATCGTATTACATAATTTTTAGTACCAGATATCTTTAAAGTAGCTTATAAGTGGTTGACTTTTATGGGAGAGTAAATAGCTAGAGATCGTACAGTTTTACAATAAGACAAATATTAATTTTCCTAATAAATATATCCCCTTACCGTAACGAAGATATGATTTTAATGTTAAAAAAAGTTGCGGGAAGTGACACAGGTCTATAGTCTACCTACAGTATCAAATTGTCGAAAAGACAATCATTTCTTTGTCTAGATGACCACACAAGAATATGTTTTTCAATTGGGATGATGACAGGGTATGAAAAAAAAAAATTATTAGTCCGTAAGTTAGGTAATAAAAAAATATTAGACACGTATTTTTTTATTTTGATGTATAATAAAATGATACTAAGATATCATACAATCAAAGTTTAGGAGTAGGGGCTAAATCGTAATTTCTACGTATAATATGTACATAGAAGTGACGTCACGCGACATTTCAAATCAATATATCGTCGAAAGTATTCGTTTCTGTAAGAAAATAAAAATACGTGTCTAATGTTTTTAAGTAATCTACCAGACGGACATTAAAATAAAAATTAGGCATCTACCCCATACTTCGAACATTTAATTCCATTTAAAATACGATTTATCAAAAGAAAGGCTAACTTTTCAGCTTACATGATGAGCCGTCCAGATGCTTACCTACCCTCTTTTGTTGAATGACTCCTCGACGGGTGCGAAGTACTCCCCTGGCCTACAGGGACCCTTCTCGAAGAGTTTATGGCAAGTGTTGGTGTGAGGGAGCTGGGCGGTGCCGGGAGGACATTTGCACTCCGCTATAGTTCGTCCGCCCCATCGTCCTGGACTCAGTTCTTGGGTTTCTGCACATGGGTGTCCTTTCTGGAAAAGGAGAGGTACTTAGTAAGTAAAAAAATATATTACTTATCATTCGAAAATTATAGTGTCGTGGTGGACCGGAGGTTTAAGAGGCCCGCTTCTCATGCATAAGGACACCTACCAACGGCAAGTACCAATGTGACTTTTTCCGAGTTATATGTACTTTATAAGATTATCTAGACACCACTTACAAACGGTGAAGGAAAACATCGTGATAAATCCTGGCCTTATAATTTCTAATTATAAGTTTGTAATCGCCAACCCGCATTGAGCAAGCTTCGTGATTATTGCTCAAACCTTCTCCGTGTGAGAAGAGGCTTTGTATCATTCGAAATTTAAGAGAAAAAAAACGATTCGGGCTCGCAATTATACGATACGGGTTTTTGTAAATATAAAAAAAAAATTTCTTCTTTTTACATCTGTTAGATTTTTAGCCTGTGAATTGACATCGAAATAAACTCGGAAGTCGTATGGCCTTTGGGTGATGAATGTAACTAAAGACCTCACATTACTACTCCTGTGTCTCAGATAAAGAAAAACTATGAAAGGACTGTAAGAATAAGAAGGGCTATAGGTAAAACAATGACTGAGATAAAATCTCTTACAAACAATATCAGAATCATGATAAAACAAGCCTAACAATGTTAATACTATAATTTTTTCGCAATCCCTTTGTTTCTAACCTTAACTAAGCTTATAATTTTATCTACGACTTTGTAATTTATTATCGTTGATCACGAAACTTATTATTTTGTACATAGGTAATTTGCATGTTTGTAATTAGACAAAAACGTTAATATTCTTTGAGTGTAGCAAAAAGTTCTGGCTGCAAGGTTAATGCTATTTTAATTTCAAAAACCGTTTTTTCGAAGTTTGTGTACTCGTGTGAAGAATTGAAAACTCGTATCATACATACGAACGACTTTTTAATTGGCTGCCTTACTTATTAAGAGCGTGCAAGTGATATGGAGTCAGTGAAATCGGGTTAATTTTCCGAATCGAACAAATTAATTTAAGTTGCAGTTCGAAGTTTTTTGATCAAAGTAATTGACAATAACAAGTTTCTATTTTGTCTGATGGGTCAGGAGTATTGGTTGGGCAACAAATGACTGAAAAACCTAGCATAGGTACTGAGCAGGCCTCTGACTATGTGAACTGAAGACGTGGTTTAAAGTCGACGTGGTGGAGCCATTAGAGTGAGGAGGAGGCTATTGTTCAGCAGTGGTAATCTTTCGATTGGTGATAACGATGACTAATTCTAAATATTAACAACATTAATAAAAAAACAACAAATACTGCTCTCTTCTTTATTGTCTACAAAGGTTCGCATGCCTTCATTGCGTGATCACATTAAAAACTTAAACAGTATCGATTATATTGCAACGCTCAATTAAAACACGATGATGACAGTAGCCCTAATTAACCGGCTCACTATGATCTACGTGGGAACCCTAATTGGTATCTAATGTTTTTATCAGCAATTTGTACCAACCTGACAGTTTGGTGTCTATATGTCAGTTTTTTTTTTAATGTCTTACAAAATGGCATCCATATTCTTTGTGGTTTTTTATCTGTGGAATTGCAAAGATTGTGGTTTCAACACACACCACAACATGTATTGTAGATGGTTTAGTAAATTGAGCTCCACAACTTAGGTCAATCTTGTTTTGCTACTGGGTTTTGCCAATGCGCAATGGTTTATCTGTATTATCCTGTTAAGTTTGTATTGTTTATTTTTTAATTCAGAGTTCGAGTTAAAGTATAATAATCTGTAGCAAGCCGGTGATGACACAGTCAAAAAAATATTTAGTACTCTATATGAAACCAGGCTGCAATTCTCTGATAAACCAGTACCTACAATCTTTAGTCCTCCTACAAGGACCAAGCGTGGAAAGCACAGCAAATGTAATTATTTAGTGAAGGTCTATAACTACAGACCTTCTCTAAATAAGGCACATAACATTTGCTGCTAAACTTAGCAATTGACTATCAAGGACTATGAATGAAAAAATAGAATAGGGATGATGACAGGGTATGAAAATTGAAAATGTAATTAGTCCGTCAGTTAGGTAATGAAAAAATATTAGACACGTATGTTTTTATTCTTTCGTATAAGAAAATGATACTTAGATATAACGAATCAAAGTTTAGGAGTAGGGGCTAAAACGTAATTTCTATGTATAAAATGTACATAGAAGTGACGTCACGCGACATTTCAAATTAATATATCATCGAAACTGTTCGTTTCCGTAAAAAAAAATTGGTGTCTAATATTTTTAAATAATCTACCAGACGGACATTAAAATAAAAATTAATCATCTACCCTATTCACATCTTTTAATGATGACTTATTTTAAGTGTTAGCATCAAATTGACAATGAAACTAGCTTTAGTAAAAAAACTAACCACGTGAACAAAACAATGTCTCATTATTTTATTTCAGTAAGTAACTAGGTACATTATTATGTAATTTATATAACCTTAAACTGTTTGATGTCTCTCATCCTCATTCCTAAACACCAATTACGAAGATTCAAAGCAAAGTTATACGAAATTAATTATAATTTTATGAATGCTTTAAATAACAAACGGATAAAAAAAAAAATAACAACTCAATTATGAATAAAACTTAAAAGAAAAAATAACAAAAACTCTATGATCTGCATAACATTTAAATAGCAAAGATATCTGACATACTTAATTAGCTTTGAAAAAACTACGAAATATAATTCAATTTGAAAAATAGACGAAGCTAAATTAATGGTCCTGCTGTATCAGTCAAAATAAAATACATAACATAACGTCACGACATTTATCCGCGAAGGTATAGGCAGAGGTACACCTTTCGGCACTTGATGCCAATGTACAATGTAACACCCATTTTTCACTATTGTATGTTATGAGTCCCGTGTAACAGAGACAGTGCTTATTGTCATATACCGGCCACGATTCCAGACTCCGTGCTACTACTGACATATTTTTTTAAAACTCAGTAATATACTATCGAAATAAAATAGAAAATTCAATATACAAAATTGTTGCTTACGAAACAATTTGTCATTGATTTCAATGGATGCATTCAATTAATTTCATATTTATGTACATTGATTTTTCTATTTACGACTTTGCTCTGTTTTTGACTTTATTCTAACGGAGCTATTTGGACCATCTACTAGAACGACGTACCTAATAATAAATTATGATTGCCTAAACTTTGATTGATATATGCACAATATAAGACCTATTGCATCTTATAGCGCTGACCGCAAATAATTTGGGGCTCCGTGGTCACAAAGGCTTCCTAGTAAACTCACAAATAATTATCAAATGTCAAATAGAAATATTTTATTCTAATATAATATTAATAAATATTATGTAGATTTAACTCAAGTCAGCGCCATTACAAATATAGTTTCGTTACATAAAATTGTTAAGAAATATACATTTCGGTATACATTGAATGTCAGGAGTGTAATGTAACTATGGTTTAACACAAGTAGGTAACACAAGCAGCAATGAATAATATCTTGCTGCAATTGCAAAACCCTTTTAACATGTTAAACGCCATGGGGGCCGCCCGCGCCGGTGGCTGACGTTAGCAAAGGAATTGCCTTCAATACTTTTCTATCGGCAGTTATAGCTTTAAATGTTTTGTTGATAGGCCTTAATTTACAACAATAAGTAATATAGGCCTAACCACAGAACATATTATTATAAAGAAGTTAATTAAGTTAAGGCCTAATACTCATTTACTCAGTAACTATGAACTTCAAGTCTTACACGCACTTCTTTTTTGATATTATTATCTACCTCTTAATAATCCAGTATTGATATGGTAAATGGTAAACTATAAAGCACAAAACTTGTACTTTATGGTACAAAATTAATATCCACTTTTCGCTTATAGATATTATGCATCCACATCCATTACAACAAAGAGGAAAGCTACGTATTACTTAGAACCGATGTCAAACAACGCTTGCGTTGTGTTTCGTTGGTCGTTGTCGTGTGAGTAAGGATACCGGCGCCCCAATTACTCCCTCCCCCGCTCTAATCACCCCAATCCCTGAAACTCCAACAATCCTCAAATTCCGAATCCTTCACAATCTGTACCTAACGGACTAGTAACGCCTCTGGTGTTCCGAGTGTCCATGGGCGACGCCGATTGCTTACCGTCCGTATGTTCGATTAAAGGCTTATCCCATAAAAAATCCTTCATTTAAACTTACAACCATTCAACGAACACATGTATGTAACTCTCAAAAACAACAATAACACTTAATCTCATTTTTAATGGGACAATTTCCACCATAACATCACTTAAACATGCTACTTTTATATCCTTATTTCCACCATAAAGTTTGTTCGTGTTAAGTGGCAGAGTAACGACTTCTAAGTCATTACGAGTAACGCCAGGAGGTGCAACATGCTGTGAGTGACTATTACGTTCATAAACTTGATTACCGTAAAAGTGATAATCTACGTGGCACGTGGAGGCAATAATATGAGACCTGTTTTGATGCTGAAGATAAGCTTTTGGTTCTTTCAAGCCAAAACAGTTCTCTTTCAAATAACTTATGACAAAGACAATAATAATATAGTATATCTTTGCCGATATTTGATAAATAATAGCTTAAAGCCGAAAGTAAGGATCGTGGAACACTGAAACTTGACACGAAGTTTACAAAAGAATACTAAAAAGGATTTTAGAAAATTATTACTAAAATCGGAGAAATGATAGTGTCTTTCAGGAACAAAAAATTTTCAATTATTCACTCAGTATTTAAACGACTTTGCTCAAAAAATACTGTACCTATCACCAAGTTTTTGTCATTAGCTTGCTTATAACATATCATACACTGTGAGAAGTTAAAATAATAAATCAAGTAGTGAACCAGGATTTGTTTAAATAATTTATTAAGCCAGCGCAAAATACATATTAATTTAGTTTGATAGCGTAAAATATTAATTTACTCAGATAATGCGTGAGTTACTCGGCGTAG